TAATATTTGGCATTTAAATCAGCTTCTTGATCACAAAAAAGAACATATGATAACTTGGAGACAATTTAAAGTACTAAAAAAAAAATATGTAGAAAAAAAAAGCTAAATGGTTTGCAACATTAGAGAAAGAAATAATTGAAGACTCACGTTCAAGAAGAATCAAATAAGTTTAAAATAATTAAAAAGAAAGCAATTTAGTATAAATTATATAGTAATTTATTCTGTAGCTTATTTAAGCTCTTTTTTAATAAAATAATAAACAAAATTATCTAAATTTAAAAAAAATAAAATAAAATAAAAAATAATAAAATAAAATAAAATAAAATAAAAATAAAATAAAATACAAATAAAATAAAATAAATTTTTTTTAGTAATATAAGCTATTTTAAAAAATATATATATATATAAAATATAATATTATATAAATAAATAAATTTTAATAGAATTTAAAAATTATAATATTTTTTTTAATAAAAAGAAAGACAAAATTATCTAAGTTAAAAAAAAAATAGAATTTATAAACAAAAATCTATATAATAAAAACTTTGAATAATAAGATAATATAAACCTTTTAACAAGTTATATTTACAAGTATAAACTAACTTAATTATTATAAAAAATACTTATATTTAACTTGTTATAGAAATATTTTTCTTATTTCTAACTTTTAAAGATACTTAATTTAGCTAATAAATCAAGAAAATAACTATCACCTTGTTATTACTATAAAAAAATAATTATAATTAAAATAAAAATTAATATATATAATAAAAAAAAACTACAAGTTATATAAACTAAAATTATAAAAAAAAAGGATGTTATATAGTATAGGTGGGCAAACTCCGCTAAACTCCTCTGAATATATTAAAAAATTAATGATTACTAATCATTAGCGAAGCTTATTTCTTATATTGCCCACCTATTCTATATAACATCCAAAAAAAAATTACTAACAAATTAAAAAACTTTTACAAGAAAAAAAAAAATCCTAACTATATTCAGCAAAAAAAAAAAACTTTTTATTAAGCTTATTAAAGAAAACAATAAAACTATTTATTATATACATAAATTTATAAAATCTATTTATAAATTTTTCTATACTGTAATATATTAATAATAAATTAATTATAATCAAAGTTCTGAATCAAGTTGTCAGTAGTAAATAAACTAATTTTTTTGTTCTATCTTTGTAATTACATTAACATCATTTTCATTATAACGTACGAACATTGCAATATTCGCTATTCATTCTGAGTCTATAGACGGTCATATCCACATAAATTTCTTTTTTATAAAGCTATATTCTGATACAAGCATGCATTTACTATGCCAATAGGTATATCATGTAACTCTGGAACAAAATCATCTGTAATTCCTGACAGTTGAGATAAATTTTGACCTACGTTAGCATAATCGTCTAGAAATATATAATAGAAAAATTCGAAAAAAATTATTATTTACAGTTGAAATGAAAGTTTAAATTAAAAACATTATAAAAAAAAAAAACCTGTTATTGTATTAAAAGAATCAAGTGGTGCAGTATTTAAAAAATTTATTGAAATAAAAGCGACAAAAATAAAAAGCACCAAGACAAAAGACCATACAGGTAATGCAAGCGCCCAATATCTGAATATATATAAAATTAATAAATCAATATGAGCGATGAAAAGTTAACAGATAATTATTATACCTGTCTGGATAATAAGTGATTCCTAAAGATTCTAAAACTTCTTTAGGCAAATAGGCCCATAATAAATATATGGCTACATTTTTAAAGGTCGTGTCGTTTGTTAGGTAATTCAACTAAAAGATTTAATTACTTACATAAATAATCTTACCGAATGCTATAAATGATAATAAATAAAGTACGAATCCATAGTATTCATATGTTGGAGTCTTTGCCAATGTTGTAGGAGATTCATCCGTCTGAGACATTGTCACTTGGATAACTTAAAAATTCGAAATATTTTAGTGGCGATCTACAGTCACGAGATGTTGAAACTACATAACTGACATCGATATCGATATTAAATAATCTTAACCCCTAACGCTAAGGAGTTCCTATTTAATATTTAAAGAAAGGTAGTCTTTGTTTAATGTGAATAGTGATGGGAATTTCTAAAAATTAAAAATAAATTATAATGATAAGCAATTAATAATTGAACATCTTCATTGAAAGTATAAATTTTGTTTAAAATTTAAATATTGCAGATTTATCGATAAATATTTTCATTAAGTATTAAACCGAATACTTAAAAACGACTGTTCATAAGCATATTTTTAACTAAATATTAACTCGAGTACATTCTTGCTAATGTATTTTGATTTCCATATGCTACGTAGAAATGAATTATTAATTTAACAATTCTTTACTAAAGCTAACAATTACAGAATTAATAATTATAAAGTCACATCATTAATTTATATATATACCATAATATTGTTATTACAATATTAAGATTTTATCTTGATATACACAAAATTTTTATTTGTCACTTTAGAAAGGTTTATTGAAAAGACAATATAACCATCATTGGGAAGTGTATGTACGTGATATTAACAGACACAAATTTAGTGCGAATTAATCGTGCATAAAATTTAAGTCTAAATTACATATTGATAATACTAATTTATTAATCTTTAATTGGTTAATTAAACATTGAACAGAAATTTTAGATATTATGTAAAAATCACATGATATACACAGTATTACGAATATTACGAATATCAATATGATTAATAAACAATGAACGTAGATACTTTTTATTAATATATGTAAAAGTAGTAAATTATTCACTCATCGTCTTCAGTTGATAGACCTTCAACAATAAGATTAGCAGATGGCCAAAGTCCACTTTCATTTTTAATAGTCTTGAATTTATCCGCATGATGTACAGTTCGTGGAAATGGAGAAACGAGCAAGAAATCAAAGGTATGAACATAATCTTTTGGTGGCAGGATAGTTGAAGAAGACGATGTTTCATTTCGTATATGATATGTATCGACGAAAATGTAAACCATCTAAAACAAATTAATCAAAAGTTAAAACCCATGCTTTGAAAAAATAAGAAATTTGCGATATTAATGATATTAACATTACCTCAACAGTATCATCAGCCCTAAACCTTCTTACTACTCTCTCACCATTTAGTAGTCGAAAGCTTAACTTTGTGACGTCCGTTTCATTTTGATGAGGTTCATTCGGTAATTGAGTTAAAGCCCACCTTCTCCAATTTTCTTTGTTAGCTAAAAATAACAACCGTTCTTCTGCTTCTTTTTTTGCTCGTTCACTAGCCAACCTTTTTGCTTCAGCTAATTCACGTGCTTTACGTTCTTTTTCCTGATCAGCTTGCAATGATGCAAGGTAAGCGCTGTCTTGTTGTTCGCGAATTTGACGAGCAGCATCACGATCAGCACGTTCACTACGAAACCGTTGTAGACCAGGACCATAACGATTTATCGCAATTCTAAATCGCGCTATAAGTAATTCAGGACTCAACGATCCTTTATTAGTAAAATGAATTATTTTAAGTCATTATATATGTTTATTAAATAATCGAACAAAGACGATTTAATCAATGTACGCGAACATTTCTACCATTGAGAGTCATTTAAGACGTAATTATAAAAGTGGATAATACCTTCAATACGATCAACCACGGTCATTCTTGGACTCGCACCGGTATTTCCATGAGGCGTTGCAAGAACGATCACAGCCACAAATGGATATGTAGTAGCTTGTAATACGTTATTTACTGTTTATTATAAACAATAAATTAAAAATGTATCTGTGTGAATAAAAAAAAAAAAAAAAAAATGAACATAATATTATATCTAACCTTGAAATGCTTCCGGATCTTTTATATTTCCGGCCCATACTAAAACATCATTTTCTCGAAGAAATGATATCAATAACTCGGAAGTTAATGTATCACTATAAAATACAATTTTGTGTGATAATTAAATGATGATATTATACAAATTTGGAAAATTTTAAATTTTTTTTTTTATTATTCTGTAAAAAAATATACCGATTAAATTTTTTTGTATTATCATGTTCGTCAGCTTGCAGTATTATCATAGTAAAACGAAGATCATTTTTTGCTCTATCCAAGGCCTTAATAATAATCATCAATAAATAAATAAATAAAAATAATATATCACAATTTGAAGTCAAATAAAAAAAAAAAATTTATTAAAATGGATCATACCTGAGAATAAGAACCTTGAAAAAAGTCAGGATGCGTATTACCATAATTTTCTTCAAATTTTTGTATAAATTGAGCTGTTAATCGCGAATCCCTTAATCGATTTGCTTGGGGATCGGTAATTGCAGGTCTTGGAATAATGAAATAAAAAAAAGCCTGTATAATATTCCTAACCAGGCTAACGCAAGCGGTAAGTATGGCCACCAGAACCATTTCTTCGAGTCACCAATAAAAAGAAAAATTTTAAGGCAAACTCATAAAACGCCAAGGTAATACTTTTGTTCGAGATTTTTTTTTCTAAACCACAAAAGGGGGGAAAACTTTTACAAAGTTAGTAATATGAAACGTTTTGAAATAAAGACACGCGCAGGTAATAACTTACAAAAGTTTAAGAACAAAGTACGTATCAGCCGGGAGTGCCGAAAGTAGTAAAAGGAAATATGCAAGTATAAGTGATCAAGATTCACGTCAACCTGTGGAATTTTCACCCTTAACAAAGCAGACTTTCAACAAATTCTAATAAAGCTATCTTAATCTTTTTAATAATAAAATGGATTCTATCACATGTGACTGTTGCATATTTTTATGCTAAAATATAAGGGTAGTCATTGTGTATAATTGATGATCTGATTTGCCTTCCGAAACGGACATGTGCGCGACTGCGAAAGTAAGTTTGTGTACGGTCAAACCTGAGTAATGATGCATATAATTAGTAGTACAAAATACATCGATAATGATAATAATAGATACAATCAACGGCACAGTCTAATCTGGAGAAAGGGTTTTACTTTTTTTCTTTTGCAGGACAACACGACTTAATCATTTCAAATACAAGGTAATGCTTCCTAAACAGTTAATAAGTTTTTTAAGTTCCAAGTTATTCACTTTTATCCTAATATGTAAACATTAGATGGTTATTCCTGACCACACCAAGATTGCACCAGTTTCGTCACTCATTAATAAATTTGAACAAAATCCAGACGAAGCGTCAAACCAAACAAATTCTCGAGCTCGTAGCCCTAATCCTGGAAAGATAGTTCATAATTATGGGACTTCTGATGGAAAGTCAGGTGAAGACCAAGTTAGCATTTCAGCAAGCATTACGACCGAAAAAAAAACAGAACAAAATACCGAAACAGTTCAAACAAGTGAACCAGTAGTGGAAACTGTAACCGAAACTGTAACTGAAACTGAAACTTTAACTGAAACTCTTAATGGTAACGATAAAGTTAACGAAGAAAAGAGTCAAGAGACTGAAACTTCTGTTGTTATAGAAGATAAACAAGAATTAAAAGAAGAAAATCAAGAGGAACAACATGAAACAGAAATTGCAGCAGCTGATGCTGAGGTTAAAGCTGCTACAACTAGTGCAACAACCAACGTTCCGTCTGAAAAGAACGTAAAGAAAACCGGTACTACCACGAAAAAGACAGTCAAACCTACAAGTACAGTTAAACCTTTAGCAACAAAGAAAACGACACCAGCTGGTCATACTTCAACCGATAAAAGTAAATTATCAAGTGGTTCATCAGCTGTTCGTTCCAAGTCTCCGGGAGCAAGACCTGCGGTTACTTCAACCATCAAAACTAAATCTTCTGCCACTTCAGCTCCCAAACAACCAACAAAAACCACACATGTTAAAACTCCTGTAGCCGAGAAACCTAAAACAAGTTCAACTGTCACAAAAACAGTAACGGCCTCAAAACCTATTGCTAAGCCTGCGCCTAAAACTGTTTCTACCCCTCTTTCTACATCTGCTTCTGAGAAAAAAACATCAGTTACTAAAGTTCCTGGAAAGGCACAAGTAAAGACTGCTGGCGCAACCTCTAAAACAATTAAAAAACCTACAGATAAGAAAGCACCAGAAAGAAAAGCAACTTCTTCTAATAATTCCGAAAAAAAAGTTCAGAAAGAAGAGAATAAGAAGGAAGAAGAAACACATACGCATACAGAAGAAGTTATTCAAACAGAAGAAGTTACTCAACTAGAGGAAGTTACTCAATCAGATGAAATTATCCAATCAGGGGAAATTGATGTTAAATCCGAAGGTTCAAAAGATAATGAGACTGTAGAAGAACATGAATCCAACGAACAATACGAAGAAGAACTTCACGAAAAGGAATCTTCAGAAAAGGAATTTCAAGAGAATCAAAGTGAAATTTCAGTTAACGAATCTCATGGAGAAGTTTCAGTTACCGATTCAGAGGATAAATCCCATATTGAGGTTATAGAAGAAATTCATGAAGATGAGACCGAACGTCAATCAAATGTCGAAGCTTCTGAAGAACCTCCAGCTATTGTTGATGAAGAATTGGCAGCTGAAACTGATCAAGTTACTGAATCTCAAACAGAAACTACTGAATCTCAAACAGAAATCATTGAGAAATCTATCGATTTAAATACTACAGAATCCCTCTCTCAAACAAAATTCATAGGTTCTGATGTCGTTGAAACCACGACAGTTGAGACGGTTGAAATTGAGAGGGAACCATAATTGGTCTAAATTTTTTCTTTTCACAATTACTTGGGATTATAAAATGTCATGTGGAAATTGAAATAATAGTAAGAAAAATTTCGACGAACTCGATGTGTAGATATCATATTTCTGGTTTATGATTATTAAAAAAAAAAAAAAAAAGAAAAAAGGAAAGAAAAAAACAAAAAAAAAAGTTCATGGGCTGGAATCATTTTACTTCAATTTCTGTAGTTAGCAAAACATATATTTTATTTATGCTTATGTATTTCGATATTAGATATTATTCATGCAACGAAGTGTTATTAAAATGTGATATATTATTATATTAATGGTGCTTATTTTGTCATTCTGATTAAAACTGTACGTACGATCGATAATCACATTTTTTATCAAATTAGGAAAAATTTGGATAACGATATATAAAATCTAATATAGTAATACCCGGTTATCCGAATAATATTTATAAATAGTCGCACGACGCCATCGTGCCAAACCGGGAACAATAATTAATGACCAGTTCAAGGAAATAGATAATTAAATTGGTATTATCGTTATAGGATAATATTCTATCCAATTTCAAAGCGAAACCTAATTATGCAGATATGATTAATTCTAACGGAGTATAAGCTGATAATTGTTATTGAATAAACATAGTTCATTATACATTACCACAATTAGATACGTAAAAGTATTAATACTCTCGAATAGAGATGCTAAATGGCTACCAATGGATCTTACGTTACACGAGCCGAGTCGTGTCTCATGGCAGAAATGACTGATTGGCTGGGACCACGAAAAATATAAAATTTCTTGATCAGGTGCAATGTAGATCATACATGTGAGCTAATATTTTTTTGGGTCCGTATCAGGGCACAAAATTTCCGAATGCCGGAAGCCGCTTTTTCTCCGGCGGTGTTTATTTTAACCGGGTAAATTATTCGACCCATATTTATTGTATGCTCTGATTGGTTAGGGTTAGGATGATCTGCAGATTTTAGCCAATAGCTGATAGGATTTATTAATTTCAGCATTATCTGATCATCCGTAGCAATCAAGCTGACTATCTAATATCTGATTGGCTGTTCTGCTAGAATAGCCAATCAGATATTAGATAGTCACCAGTTTCACCAGCTTAATTTAGTTTCACCTGCAACTCTAGTAGCGACACTACCCCTGACTAGTAATTTGAACCGGGAAACTTTCGGTTAACCGATTGAGTAAAATGTTTAATCGGCTAACCCGAGATTATCGGTTATAATCAGTTGATATGCCGATTAGCCGGTTAACCGAATAGTGCTCTGTTACAGAACTACTAGTACGGCCTAAATTATAATTTAATGCCAGGTAAAATTGTTTACTCCCTATAAAAATTTTTTGAAAAAAATACCCAACTTCCTCCAAGTTATTGTTCGCATTTTTCTGGAACAAAATTCCTGGTTATTTCCATATAATCCTGGTAATTTCCGAGTAAAAATCAAATCCGGGTAATATTCGGCTTCTAATTATAATAAAGTGCAAAGGATTAGAAGCCGAATATTACCCGGTTAAAATCACTAAGTCGGGTAAATTGGGTCAACCTAAATAATCTCGGTTGAGGCCGGGTCGGTTAACCGATTGAGGATTTTGGTACCGGTTCAAATCACTACCCCTGACAGAGTTGTCGATTGTGGTAATTGTCGCATCCTGTTATTATATTATTTATAAGGATGTGGCAATTATCAAGTCATATCATGACAGCCATAGCGAAGAAATTATTGTTAAATGGCAAAGAAATCTTACCTACTGTCCGTGACGCACGTTCACCCAAAAATTTATATAAACTATTAAATGTTTATCCAAACAATGGTGTTGGTCTGAAAGTGGTATTAAATAAATAGATTTTTTTTTTTTTTTTTTTTTTTTTTACCGAATAAGCAAGTCGCAAAAGCTTTCTAAAAACAAAAAAACCAAAACCAAAAAAAAAAAAATTCTACTAATAAAGGTACCAGATCATTGGGTTAACAAGGGAATCATTGACAGTTATTATGAAATTACAAAAGCTACACTGAAAATGAAGGTAAATTTGTTTTTATACCAAGTTTTGGCATTCTTTTTAAGCTGATTTTTTTTTTAATATTAGGATATAACTCACGGAAAAGTATTCGGTATTAAGGTTTGGAATGGTATGTAAGGTACGCAACAGAATATTCGTTTGTATTATTATTAACCATGCATTTAAGTTAGGCAGAGTATTGAAAAATGGCAAACCGGAGAAGATTCGGGGAGGATACAAATGGAATTGGATGTTATGGCCAGTTAAAGAGAGTCTTTAAGTTGTCTCATTAAATAAATGTTGTTACATTTCTATTTATTAGTCCTTATCTTTCAATATGAGTGATAAATGATCAGTTAATTTGAAAACACGTAGTTTTGGTGTATTTATATCTATATATAAATTATTCTATGTCAATATACAGTCGCCCCTCGTTAGGCATCAACCTTACTGGACCAAACAATTGTTTGACAACCAAGAGGAACTGATATAGGGAGTTTGACTTGTATAAGAATTTGTATCAGTACTAGCGATGCCAACTTATGATAGCCAAAATATAAATTATATTAAACGCTAACAAAGTAAATGTATAGTACCATATGTGTAAATTATGAATTAACTTTAATCATGTAAATAATTATATATTATAGCTATTTATTGTTCATTTCAAACATTAAATCTCTTGGTCGACCAATATTTTTATACTTACGATTAATAAGTTGATCTTGCTGTTCTGTATTTATTGACATATTTTTCTCAGAATATATTTCAGCTTGCAATCATGCATTTGAATATTGAATATAAATTTGATTCTTCAAAGATGTTAAAAAACAAGACTTTTATATTCAAATTAAAGATTTATTATCGTTATCACGATAACAAAGTTGATTAAACGTCACGTCAATCCTAGCTTTAACGGTAATCATATTTTAGAATTTAAAATATAAAATTTTAAGATGTTCTCAAGCATCTCTCTCAATGAATTCGATAAAAAATCTGATTGCTTGAGAACGCCCTTAATTATAATATCTTAATTATCATAAATAAAAATATTTTTGAGTTGAAAACTATTTTGTTTATTAAAATTAATTAAATTGGCATCGCTAATCTAGTAGTTCCCAACTTCGAGGGAATAAATGCGTTATTCTTTTATTTTATTATTATTTTTCAAACATAAATTATCTAGTTGCTATACAAATAGTTTATGTTTGAAAACTAAATTAATCTTTTTACCACCTTAAACTTATATGGATATAATTGAACATGCATATTAACATCTTTACGACTTATCATCTTCCTCATTAGATTCATTAGATTCACTAGATTCATAGGGAACATTCGGATCAGCAGATTTGAGTGCGTATTTTTGTAACCACGCGTCCTCAGACCACACTAAAGATTTTTATAATCGAATTTTAAGCAAAAATAAAAAAGAAAGCAAAAAAAAAATAATCAGAAAACCCTACCAGCTCGCATGCTTCCTTCTTTAACTCTCATAGGCCTGGCCAGATTGACCTTAATAACTTTACCGTAAAGTTCTGATAGATTCATATTATCAATCGCAGCTTGAGCGTCGGCGGCTTCTTCGAACTCTATAAATCCAAATCCACGATGTTGGTTGTCTTTTTATGAACGCGTCAAAATTAAATTACAGAAAGTGTGATGTTATAACTACAAAACTTGTAATACTTCAAAATACTTCAATATTTAAAGCTTACGGGAAGCAGGATCTGGAGGGATTTGAATTTCAACAATATCACCAAACGGAATAAAAGCTGCGTGGAGGATTTGTTCGTTAACTTGATCATCAAGACCCCCTGCGAGCAAAGAAGCGAAAATCATATTCGAATTGTTCCATCTCCTTACGGTCTCAAATTAATATCCTTCATATTTCGTACCAACGTAGATAGTCGTCTTACTGGTATTGTCTTTGACAAGAGTCGCCATTGTTTATGTTTGAGTAAATAAGAAGTGAATTTTATCAAAGTACGATATCATCAGTAGTTGTGTTACGTTTATCACATGATTAATACGCACTTGTATAAATAGATCTACTTCTTAACAAAATATTCCATTAAAAACTTCTTCGAATACTAAAATGGCCGCCGAAACGATCCAAGTTGAGAGTGATGATCTTAGTCAGAAGACTTCAAAAAAACCATACATTAAAAATAAGCGTAGAAAAAAAAAGAAGAATGATTCACAAGCAATCGAACAAGAGAAAAAAACTGAGAACGGAAAGGTGTGTATACAGTTTATTACCCTTTTTTCAATATTATTCATGTTCATTTTTTTTTCGTTCGGAAGATCTTATGTAATTTTATATCCTTTTAACGATTTTTTCACATTTGGGTCAATTCTCAATTCTTTTTTTATCAAATTAAAGTCTTCAGAGACTGATGATTCGGAAAATGTGGAAATAGAGTACGTATTACAACCTCTGGGTGAATCTAACGATCCTTACTATGAAGAATTCTCAAAGGTTTTTGCCCATTTTCAGATTACCAAAGACGAAACTGAGGTATCGTTTATCTCGGTCATTAAGATTTTCATATAGCAAAACTGAATTTATTTTGAATTTTCGTGTACATGAATTTATGTAAAAGATCATATTCACTTAAATTCTATGGATTATTGATGAATAGGTAAAATCTGAAATTAAGGAAGAAAAAAATGAGATTTTAAAGATTCAAAGTGAAACTCGAACAAGAGATTCCGAAAACGATTCAGAAAACGAATCCGAAGATGATAGGCAAGACAAAGTTTCAAAAAAGAAACTAAAAAAAATGAATAGATTAAGTGTTGCTCAATTAAAACAATTGGTTAAGCGGCCAGAAGTTGTCGAGGTGTGTTATTATTATTTATTATTTTTCTCCCTTTAAATTATATACATTTAATAAATTATTATCAATTTATAAAAAAAGTGGGTTGATGTAACAGCAGCGGACCCAAAGCTTCTGGTTAGCCTCAAAGCTTATAGAAATACTGTACCCGTTCCTCAGCATTGGTCACAAAAAAGAAAATATCTTCAAGGGAAAAGAGGAATTGAGAAACCAGCTTTCGATTTACCTGGTATTACATTTTCAAATTATATTAGCTTGTTTCAGATGTAAGTATATTACAGATTTTTCTTAATATTTTATAACTCATATAGAATTTATCAAGGATACGGGTATCATGGAAATGCGTGAAGCAGTTAAAGAAAAAGAAGATGCCGCAAAATTAAAACAAAAAACTCGTGAGCGTGTTCAACCAAAAATGGGTAAACTAGACATCGATTATCAAAAATTGCACGATGCATTTTTCAGATTTCAATCAAAACCTAAATTGACAATTCACGGTGAACTGTGAGTCTTTCAATTGATATACTTTTTTTATGTATAGTTAAATATCTTTAATAATATATCTGTATATATAAAGGTACTACGAAGGAAAAGAATTCGAGACTAAACTTAAAGAAAAAAAACCAGGCCAACTTTCAGAAGAACTGAAAGCTGCCTTGAATATGCCACCACTTGCACCCCCACCATGGCTAATTGCAATGCAAAGATATGGTCCACCACCTAGCTATCCTAATTTAAAAATTCCTGGATTGAACGCTCCTATTCCAGAAGGGTAAGTGTTTGAAATCTATATTCTATAATATACATTAATTAAAAATACATAATTTTAATTTTAATTTATTTTAAGTGCTCAATGGGGATTTCATCCAGGTGGATGGGGAAAACCTCCAGTTGATGAGGTAAATGTTTTTTATTTTTATTTTTTTTATTGTTTAAATGATATTTGAATGGTTTAACATAAAAAAAATATATATAGTACAATCGTCCGCTATATGGTGATGTTTTTGGAACATATCAGCAAGAAATCCCATCAGATGTAAGTTCTTATTTACACCTTTATGAATTGTATATTTAATTATATTTATAAATTAAAACTTTACACTGTAGATTGTCCAACCTATTGAACGGTCATTATGGGGTGAAATGGAGGCGGAAGAAGGAGGTAAGTAATAGATAATCTGAAAAGTCAGGTGCAAATTAATTTATACACATTTTAATAAATAAATAAATAAATAATACTAGAATCAGACGAAGAAGAGGAGGAGGAGGAAGAAGAAGAAATGGGAGAGGATGAAAGTGCATCAACGAAAGCATTACAAGAAGGCCTTGCCACACCAAGTGGAATATCTAGTGTACCTAGTGGTTTGGAAACACCAGAGTATATTGAACTAAGGAAATTCCAAGCTAGTACAGCTACAACACAGCAGCCTATATTGGCTAGCGGATTAGAGACTCCAGATATTATTGAATTAAGAAAATATTCAAAGTAATTAGCTAGTTTTATTAATTTTATACTTTTAGTTTTTTTATGGCTAATTATGTATTTAATTTTAACTAGACCCGATGAAGATGAACCAAAGGCTTTATACACAGTCCTTCCACAAAAGGATACTTCTATCTCAGGTTTTATGGGATCACAACACGCCTATGATTTAACTGCCGCATCTACAGCAACTGGAGGCGTTAAAGGCACAAAGGTAATGAAACTTTACAAAATTTTTTCTTTCTATTTTTAATGCGTAATAAAAAATTCATGTGATAATTTCATTATATATTTTATAGCGAAAGGTTGTTGGAGCTGGTATAGATGTAGCTCTCGATCCTTCAGAGATGGCAAATCTAGATGAAGAAACATTAAGAGCCATATTTGAAGAAGCTCAGCAGGTTTGGGTCTTATATAAAAAAATTATATAATTGCATATTTTTAGCGTATATTAACGTTCTATGTTTTAGGCGAATCAACCGGAAGGTTCGCGTGAAGACTTTTCAGATATGGTCGCTGAACATGCTAATAAGCAAGCAAAAAAACGACAAAAATTAGCAGATGCAAAAGCTGCTGCACGAGATGCAGGTTCTGGTGGAAGTTCATCATCAAAAAAATACAAAGATTTCAAATTTTAAAAATCTATTTCTCTTATTCAAGTTTTATTGGTAAGTTTTGAGTAAAATAACTAAAATAGAGCATTTCGTTTAAAAATTTGTTATTTAAACGTTTAAGTGATTCTGGCGAGAATTGTGGTTTTTTTTAAATATTTTTTTTTTTAGTTTGAATAAAATGTCGACAATCAAAAACATCAAAGCAAGTGTTAATATACTACATGTTACTAACTTTAATTTATGACAACAGTATCTTCTAAAGTCCGAATTAATCCTGTTTATTCTTAAAATACGGTACTTATTCTCATTTAATTGATCGACACAAAAAGTATATTTGAAATGGTGAAGTATTTATTATTCTTATGATTACCATTTCATTTAATTGCATATATAAAAATAAAAAATAACATCAATTTCCTTAATTTCAAACTTTTAGTAAATCCATAAAGTAGTATTTCATAATTTCATTCTAGTTATTTGATCAAAAACTTTTAAGATATTATATTTTTAACTTCATTAAGACTAAGGTTGCAAATACTTCGAACTATTTACTTCAAATAACAAGTTTAAACGTTTTGTACAATATTACAATAATTATACCTTTGACAATTTTTATATGCGCGGGTGAGTGTTAATGATGTTAAAGTGGTATATTGGAATTTTTTTTTTTTTTATATGGTTGAACATTAAAATTTATCTGTGCTAAGGATTGCGAATATCCTTTTCTAATATATATGTAGTTATTATTACTATATCATCATTACTTCGTCTCGGTATTTTACTATCGATAATTAATATTGTATATGTAAATATTTCTCAGTTTGGTATAATATTAAAAGGAATATTATAATAATAAAAAAATTCATTTTAATGAATCTAAATTACGCGTTCCCGTATCGGTCAATTCGTGTACAATGCGGGATATCATAAGATATCCAATTTTAATTGCTTTACAAATATGTTACATTTTTTGTAATTAACAAACTCATGAAGATCTTGATATAAATATGACTTGTTCGTAATCATAGCATTTAATATCATTTTCTTAGTATATTTGATATAACCAGGATACTAATAGTGTTTTTTTTACTATTAGTAAAAACCTTTTCTATTTTTTTTATTTTTTATTTTTTATTTTTTTAAGCAAAGCCAAAGTGAGACCATGTTTCTATCTTTATTAATAATTTAATTAAAATTTTACAAAGAAATTTTTATATACTATGTAATACAAGGTATAATCTTAAACTATATGACAAGATTTGAAACTCAGACTATTTTATCTGTGTTTCTATTTTTTTTAATAACTTTTGATTTGTAATATTTGATAAAGTTTATATTTTTTTATTTTTTTAACTATTTTTTAGGCAATTTGGAAGGTTTTTTTTTTTTATTATATACAAATATTATCAGCTAAATTTTATTGGTATTGTAGTAAAAAATGATTACATATTGTGAGAGTACAACTAGTTACATGTACAACTTTAGATTGTCTAATTTAAGTAGTTCACTCAAAGGTTCTACATTAGTTACTATACCTGAAATTTGTTTGAAAATTCTTTATTTAAACCTTCTGGCTATATGTTATTTTACTTGTATTCTATTCTTATTTTACTTAAATATGTCTAACTTTGTATTATTTCTATTTTTGAAAAACATCAACAAAACTAATATATGTTTACAAATTTTATAATTCAGAGTCTAGGCTCTATTTCAAGATACTTCTTTACCAACTCTCTAATCAATAAAGTGTTGTAGAATCTAACTATGCTATATTATATTCTAATCTAGCTTGTATATATTTTTGTTTAATATTCATATAAATTCAGTTCATATTGTGATTTTTTATTAGATTAGTTCTTTGTACTTTTGAAAGTTTCATAAGAAAATCTTTCTAAATTTAGTTAGTTGTTAAGCCAAGTTAGTATTGCTATATAATCTTGGTTCGTATAGCTATTTGAATATAATAAACTTACATGTATTTATTTGATTACTACTTTAATATACAGACTTTTTTGCAGAATCAAGTATTAATTAGTATAATTATTAAAATCTGTACTATTTTATCTAACTCAAGATTTCTGCTATGTTAATCCTCTATTTATAGATCTTATAAAGATTTATTCATATAATATTATATTCTTTAAGTACTTTGTCATACTTTTAATATTTGATTGATATTAGTGTAATATAATTTATAAGGTTACAACCTCTAAAAATAGATAGAGTTTACCTAAGTTAAATACTAAGGTCTAAGTAATTATTCTGTTATAGGATAGATTTTTAATTATTTTATTATTATATTTTATTATATTATTATTAGATATATTTATTAGTATTTAGTTATTTCTTATATTGTATTATTTTAGTATAGATATTTTAAAGTAAAAAAAATTATTATAAACATTTATCTCTAAGTAAAGTTCTTCAAAAAGTATTCATAATAAAAAATACTCTTAAGTAACTTTGTAGCCAAGAATATTAGCTATATGATGATATAAGTTATATTCAAAGTTATTATATAATATATAGAGAAAACACAGACTATAGCTAGAAATACTATATTAATACTATACTAAACTATATTAAATACTATGCTAAACTATGCTAAATACTTTGTCAAGAACTATACTCAAACTATATTAAATACTATATTAATACTGTGTTAAACTATGCTAAAAGACTATGTCAAACTATACTAAACTATGCCAAGTATTATGCCTTTTACTATACTAAACTATTAATAGTAATACTTAACTATCACTTGTATAGATGCTTAAATGATGCTTGCATAAGATGCTTATATAATACTTTGCTAATACTTATACAATGCTTGCTAAAAGTTATAAATACAAGTAGAATTCTCTTTTAGTTCAATAATAAGTTCTGTGAACTTCTTTTCCTACTCTTTAGTTGTTTAGACCTTAACTTCTTTTTTTCCTTCTCTCTTATTAATAATAGATAGAGTCAAAATCCTCTTTCCTATAGTTATAAAGTATAACTACTTATATATCTTCCTCTAAATATATCTATTTTTAATAAATATATTAATTATGAATAATTATAAACAAACTGCTTCTTTAGAGATAAATATAGTTTTTTAATAATATAAGAATTATATTTTCTTTTTTGATATTGCTTCTTAAAGTCTCTAGATAGCTGTATTTCTGTTATAGATAATATATAAGAAGGCTTAAATTATACTATCTGTAACAATTCAATTCTGTTGATAGTGAGATTTGAACTCTAAACTACTTGTATAATAGTCTGATAATCTAATTACTATACTAAGATTATCAGATCTTATTTAGATTTTTAGAAAGTATTTATAAATATTAATACAGTCAACCCTGGCTATAATCACACTCTTGGGACCATAAAAATATGTGATTATAACAAGGGTGTGATAATAA